GAACTGAACTGAACTGAACTGAAAAACAGCCTGAGCACAGCTTCGTTCGGCTGATAATGGGTCGCTTTTATCAGGGAGAGGCATTCAGGGGCAGTCAGAGAACTGGAGACCTGGCTGGAGATCGATGCTCCGGAGGAACCTGATGTTCTAACATCCTCCAACAGAACGGCTGGAATCCCCAAGAATAAATTACCCACCAGGGGATTCTGCGCTCTGACATCCAATTTATTATTCATAAAGGTTTTTTTTTTTTTTTTTTACAAGTTAAAGAGCCGAGTTGATCAGCTGACCTGACTGTCGAGGCCAAGCAGCAGCAGCATGATGAAGAAGAGGATGGCCCAGAGTGTCGGGAAAGGCATCATGGTAACAGCCTTGGGGTAGGCAATGAAAGCCAGGCCTGGACCTGCAGAAGAGCAGGGAGAGAAGACAGAGTGGGGGCGAGGGGGGCACATCAGGATCAAACCATAAAACCATCTGATCTGCATGGTTGTGTTGGGGAGGGGGGGTGCCCCCGAACAAGCCACGCAGAGCAGGTGTGAATAATTGATCAGTTCTTAGCTAGAGCACACAGCAGGTTAGCATGACTATTATTATTGGAGAAAGAATTCAAAGGATTGATCTAAATGCACATCTTCACTTACCTCCCACTCGCAGAGCCTTATGACACTAACTGTACACACGCAACACACGACAATTTCATTTCATTCACAGCACAAAGTTATTCAATTACAATTAAAAAATAAAAACAAGCATAATAAAGCACAATCATAAACATGTTTGTATCTCTGTGGAAATAAGTCAGTTAGAAGAGAAATATTACAGGATGCATGTAAGGAGTGTCTACATTAAATGACCAAAGTTTAAAAAAAAAAAGAAAAACTGCTTTAATTGGAGTTTAAAAGGCCAAATGTTTAAAAAAAACCAACAAAAAACAACAAAAAAGGGAGAAAAAGAAAACAGGAGCACACCGAGGTGTGTCCATAAAGTCTGTCTGTCCCTCCGGCCGTTTTGAATCCCCGACTGAAACGCCAGGAACCCAAAAGGGCCGCTGGAAAACTGCAGCAGATGGAAAACAGGTCTGAGGAAATTTAGGGATTCGTTTCCAGGAGGTTCGAATTTAACTAAAGCTTCAACCAGGAAACAAAACGTTAGCACTGCTAAAACTGAAATCTAACCAAGTCCATCTTTCTTCAAATACGTGTATTTTCCTTTGATTTATGGAGGCAAATGGCCAAAAGAAGCAGATTATCCATGCATCAAATAAAGCCGGGCATACGCTGTACGATTTTTTTGCCCTTTTTGGGCCGATTTTCCTAGCCTCGTGAGAACATCCTGATCTCGCGAGCTTTCAAGGTTTCACTCCCTAATCAGTCTGGAGACTCTCCGTTAAAGAAAATTTGGAGTCGTTCACCAAACGAACGTCCAATCAGCGTTGGCTTTGAGGCGGGTTGAGGTGTGACGCAACGAGAAGCGCGACAGTTCAGTCTAAAGAACA